CAGTTTTTGTATTTCTAAAAATTACCGTTATATGGGAGGTAGGCGTGGTTATTGTCCGATTTTGCCCATTTCCAATACCATCCGTCCTACGCCCGAAAGAAGTGCACATACCAAGTTTCGTTAAGATATCTCAATTTCTACTCGAGTTATCGTGTGCACAGACGGACAGACGGACGGACGGACGGACGGACGGACGGACAGACAGTCACCGCTTAATCGATTTCTCTTTTCATCCTGATCATTTATGTATACATTTGTCTATATCTATCTCGATTCGTTTTGCCTGTTACAAACAACCGTTATGTGAACAAAGTTATAATACCCTTGTGCACAAGTGCGCTCGGGTATAAAAATCCCGTGTCACTGTGTTCGTTTATAGCTGTGTTTAATTAAATTAAAATAAGTTAATTATTACTATATGGGTATCAAACTAAAGAGGTTTAAGAAAGATAACCGTTGGAAATATTTTTGAGGAGGGTTGCCACCTATTTTAAAATTTTGGCTCAGTTAAATTGATAAAGAAAATGAAATATTGCTAGGTGGATATCAAACTAAAGAGTTTTAAGAAGGCTTACAGTCAAAAATGTTTTTGAGGAGGGTTGCCACCTGTTTGAAAACTAAACTAAATTACATTGATAAAATAAATGAAATAGTACAAAATGGGTATCAAATAAAAGAAGATTAAGAAAGATAACTGTTGGAAATATTTTTGAGGAGGGTTGCCACCTATGCTGAAATTTGAACTCAGTTAAATTGATTAAACAATTGAAATATTGCAATGAGGGTATAAAACTAAAGAGCTTATAAAATATCTACAGTAGAAAATATGTTTGAGGGGGGTTGCCACCTGTTTGAAAATTTAACTCAATTAAATTGGTAAAATAAATGAAATGTTACAATATCCTTCTCCTTTTTTTGAAGTCAGCTAAAAACTACCGAAACAAATAACAAAATGATAAAAGAGTAACGAAAATAAAAAAAACTATCGCATGAAAGCTGTTTAAAAAATACTTAATGAAAACTTAAAACTGTTGACAACATTCCCTAGCATTATAAATCAGTTAACTTTTAATCGTAAACAATTTATTTCGTTTGGGGTCGCCATTGCCTACTACGTATATTGCGAGTAAAAAAATTTTGAACAACTTGAGATAATATTATTATGATTATAATTATCATTACTATTGTGAACTCCTATTCCCGACCAAAGATTCCCATAATTAAAGCGAAAGCAGAAGGGCATTTACGATCGCATGATGCAAATGTTAAGATAATAAGAGCTGCAGAACTAAACCATGCAGGAACATTTTTTTACAACGGCTTGGAATTTCTTGCGTTTGCCGATGGCATCGACATCATCGGTAACAAAAATCGCGAAGTCTCTTCTGCCTTTTCCAAACTAGATTAGGAAGTAAAGCGAATGCGCCTGGTGGTAAACGAGGACAAGACGAAGTATCTCCTGTAATAAAAAACAGTCAGCGCATTCGCGCCTTGGAACCCAAGTAACTGTTGACAGCTATAAGTTCGGGAAAGTGGAGAATTTTGTGTACTAGGGAACCAGCATTATCACAGATAAAAATGTCAGCATGGAAAACCCACACGGAATCACTCTTGCAAACAAGTGCTACTTTGGACTGAGTAGGCAGTTCGGGAGTAAAGTCCTCTCTCGACGTATAAAAAACCGCACTCTATAAGTCACTCATCATGCCCGAGCTGTTATATGGCGCAGAATCTTAGACAATGACAACATTCGATGAGACGTCTCTTAGAGTATTCGACAAAAAGATCTTACGTAAGATTTACAGGCTTCTACGCGTGGGCGACGGGGATTACCGTATACGATGGAACCATGAGTTGTATGAGACTTAAAACGAAATATACATAGTGCAGGGAATGAAAATGCAGTGGCTCCGCTTGCTTAGACATGTCGTTCCAATAGGAACCGAAGTTCCAGGTGTGCAAGAATTCAACTCGCAATCCGCTGGTGGTAGCAGAGGAATAGGGAGCCCCGCTGCAGTGGAGAGACCAAGTTGGCACAGAAAGAAATTGACTGGCGTTCTTTATCGAGCTCGGCCAAAATGGCTTAGGCGGTTACAAAGCCAAAGTAGAAGAAGAATATGCAAATGATAAATGGCGGAGTTGGGGGAGGATGCGCCAGGTGGTACTTATCAGATGGATTCTGGCAACGGTTCGATCAAAAAATTGCATTACCTTAGCTATCACTTCGTCTGGAATTGCTGCGACATTGTTACCAGGTGGGAGCATTGCCAATTCAGCTCTTGAGCTGCCATTGAACATATAAATCATCGAAACTCCCACATGCAATATTTCCAGGCCAACCGGTGCACATAAAAAGTCGCTTAAGGTCGTTGATCGATTGTTGTGAGATTTGCGTGGAAACGATCAACCATTCGGGAATGCATTGATAATGCTCGCAGGAGATTTTACGCAAACATTGTCTGTAGTTCCCCGATTAACACTAGCGGACGAGATAAATGCTCGCCTGAAATAGTCAACATTGCGACAAGACGAGCATACATACACTGCAGCTGAAGTATTCGCGCGATAATAACTGGACATTCGGAACGCAAAGCTGCCAGTCAATGAGAGATTAAGACAAATTTTATGGCCTGATAATTTTTGTAACTTAGAAACATCGAAAGGAGAACTGATCGAAAGAATGTTTCTTTATTAAGAAAATTAATTATAGGAATCTCGATTGGCTCAGTGAACGGGCTATTCTTGCTGCGAGGAATAAGGATGTCTATCAATTAAATAATAGTGGTATTGAAAACAGTCGTTGCTTGAGCTAATCTGCCATTTTACCAGACTGCCAGGCCACTTGCTCACGTTGGTGAATACCACTAAGATTATTCAATCCAGCATTCAACGTGAGGAAATAGCACATACGTCGATAAACATCCTTGTGGAAAAAGACCATCCAACGGAATTTTTGAACTCGATTGATCTTCCTGGTAGACTCCACATACTGAAATTGAAAACAGGTGTGCCAATTATAATGTTGCGGAATATTAATCGGCCAAAACTTTGCAACGGCAGGCGACTCGCACTAAAAAAATTGATGAAGAAAGTAGTGTAAGTAAAGATTTTAACGTGGCCTTTCAAAGGTGAAGAATTCCCATGATTCCGACCGATACACTATTTCAATTTAAAAGATTGCAATTCCCAATTCGATTGACATTCGGAATCACAATCAATAATGCTCCAGTCGAACTTTGGAAAAGCAAATCAGATATCCTTGATATCTATGCAGCGAATGGAAAAACAATAAATATTGTGGGCACACAAGTACTTATTATATAGCCAAACACATATGAAACGTATGCATTGTTTCGTTAATAATTTATCATCCATATAACACGATACGCCACAGCAAAGCGTGGCAGGGTACAGCTAGTATACTATAAAAATC